CTGTGCAGTGACTCCAGGGATTTCAGTGGGAGATAACTGGTCTCTGCAATGCTTCTGTGTGCTTTTGCCAATCAAAGGCATTTACAGTATGTCAAAACAATCAGTGATTACTGCTCTGCAGTTTTAATTCCCTCTTTTTGCAGAATAAAAGAGCTTATTCTTGTGGTTTCAGTGCCCGCATAAGCATCTCTGCATGCTGAAGTAAAGCTTTCTTGTCTGCACTTGCTGGGACCTGATAGGTATTTTTGTATAATACCTTTTTTTTTTGCAGTGTAAAATTCTGTTGGAACATAATGGAGCAGGGTCTGGTCCGAAAGCCACCCTGACAGCCTGGAATTCCTGCTTCTGAGCAGCAGCTTATCCACAGCACAAAGATCTTGTGACAGCCACACAACATGACACCTGCTGTCCCTCCAAGTGGAAGGAGACGCATCTGGGATGACCTTCCGCCTTGATGGGCAGAACTGCCCCTTTCTTGACTGCTGCAATAGTGTAAACCTCCGCAGAAAGCTGCTTTACGTAGACAAGCAGAGAGACAAAGCTCACTGTTTTCTCTGTGTCTCGGAGAGAGACATGTTTCCCATTTTGCAGGCTATGCAGAGCTCTGCGGCGCAGAACACCCAGGAGGGGGTGCAGCTTCCTCTGGTTCTGCACCAGCCCTCCCAGGAAGCTCTGCTGCCTGTCTGGAATATGCCACGTTATCCCACAGGCAGGCACAGGGCTGATTTGTGCTTCTGGGAGCCACTGTTGTTCTCAGAGGACAGCTCTGCCCTGTCCTCCCTGCAGGGCTACGGCTCTGCAGCTCCAGTGCAACCCACCCAGCCAGTGCCGCTCTCCCCAGGGTCCCTAACCTCATGGCAACTGGGAAGGAGGTGTTGCAGAATGAGTACTGCCAAACCCAGCCTGTGAGAGCCAGTTGGAAATACTACCTCAGAAGTCAGCAATTACTCAGCACCACTGAGAGCAAAATATTCAGGCTGTATGTACATCCCAGCCTGTAAACTAGAATGTAAGGAGACAGATTTCTTGCTTGGACATCGGTAGTCCCTAGCAACACCATTTGATAAAGCCCTGGTCTGGTTTGAGCGGTCCAGGCTGAATTTTCTGTTCAGTGTTCCTGACCCTAGAAGCCTGGCATTTGTTTACAAAAAAAAAAAAAAAAAAAAAAAAAAGCACAGTTATGTCTTTAGAGCTTTGCTGCTTGGTTGGCAAACAAATGCTGGGAAGTGCAGCTCTGCTGAGGTTGTGCAAAAAGAAAGCAATTGTTATTCATTAAGCAGATGACAGCAACAGGAGCAAAGGGGATAAAACTCTAAATCTGAAACCACCTGCTTTAATTTTAGCCATAATTGAAGCGGCTGCTCATGATGCTGCTGATGCACGTATCAGATTTGCACGCCATGCGCTGCCTTGCTGATTTCTGTGGCAGCAAGCTCCAGCCCGCTGTCTGCTCTGGTTCAGGAGGGGAAGGATCTCCTGTTTGATTGCAGGTTATAATGGGCACTTTAGGATCTGTTTGTTTCCTTCCAGGAGCAAAATGCAATCGCAGTCTGGCTCTCTGATAGACAAATGCTTTAGTCATTAGTGAGGTTTCTGTGACTACAGCACTGTGTCCTAGTATGGGTGCACTTATCTCTTTTGTTCCTGGTTCGAAGCAGTGATGCTTTTCTCGCTCTTGTGCTCACGCGCTTGCTCTCTTTCTCTCCCTCCCTCTTCTCTGCCTTTGATCTTGCTGATACGGGGAAAAACATCAGATCCAAATTTTCAGCATATTTAACCAAACCATCTTGTAGGATGGCAATAAATGGTGGCTGAGTGCAGCAGCAGGGGGCTGCAGTATGCTTGCTTGTACTGCTTGCTTTCTGTTAATACAAAACAGCAGCAATTGTCAAGGAGCGCTGGGGTTGTTCTGCAGCTAAATAAGCACTCAGGGGCTCAGCATTCACAGAAGGCTACGGTGGTTTTGCTGGGAACAGGTGGACTGTGCAAAGCCCTTCTCTTGTGGTTTCTAATGCAAAGAATTGCGTGAAGCAGGTAAAAAGGGAAGAGATCTTTGCTAATGGCAGAGGTCTCATCCTTCACTAAATTCCCTAGAGTTTTTGCCACGGAGTTAAATGGCCCTAAGATAATGTTGTCACATCATATTCAACCTCCTTACAGTACTAGCACAGAAGCCTGTGAGCTGGGGAGCTCACAGCAAAACCAGTGAAGGCAGGAAAAGTCTTGCCCTGAGCTCCACGGGGTAATGTTCGAGTGGGAGCATTAACGGTCTATCCTTGAACTGCTTAGTGCAGATTTGTACTGCATGTGTTTGTACGTGCATGCCAACTTTCAAAAGCTATGAAAAGCTTTTTTATGGTTTTCTGTGATGATATATAGTCAGGAGGATACTCCGATGAATAAAGAAATATGCCACGAAATGGGGAGCAGGTGAGCTGCGTGAGAGATGTGCGTGCTGTCCTTTGTCAGTTCGGTGCTGCTCCTCAGCTAACAGTATGAAGTGCTGGGAATATGACATGAGGCTTAACTCCACTTGGAATGTTGCTTAGGAGAAGATCCTCACTGCTTTGGAGCATAGCACGTCGTGTGATGTAAGATCCCGTTCTGATCAGTGTTCCCTGCTAAGCATGTCTTCATTCCTCTGCTTTACTGATCATTTACAGCTGTTCTCTTTATTTCATGAGAAATTCTTAAAGGGCTGAGACAGTCACTGGACTGTGCTGTTCTGTAATGCAGCCCAGAGCCAGCGCTGCGTTTCAAGCAGCCAAATGAGATTCACACTCAAGTCCCAGCTGACATTGTTCGTCTCAGTCGCGGGAGTCCACATTTCTGGGGTCTAGTCTCTGGACATCTTCCTTGTCATAGTGAGGAGGAGGATGGCTGTGGCATCCAGACAGTTGAGGTGTATTACCCCCGTACTTGGTAAACTGCCAGCACAGCCTTTTTTGTTCTGACACATAGATACTTCCATCTTTAAGGAGGCATAAAATGTGTTGCAGAGAGGGACGTGCTATCTCCCTGACTGGCTATTAGTTTGTAAAGTGAGCTGCAGTGTTTGTGCTCTGCAGTCTTTTTATCATTGTTATAGTCTAATACTTGTATTTAAATCATAAATTAGTGAGCAAATAACCACATTATGGGCACTTCTTTAAGAACAAATGGTTAATGTCAGAAAATAATGAGTTCTAAAAAAATATCTTTGGCAGTCTTTCCTCTGTGTATTCCTAGTGACGAAGGGGACACCGAACAGCCTGTCATGTCGTTTCAGTTCCTTCTTGCACGCAGCTGTGCCAAAAGTGAATGCACGCTCCCATGGTCCACCAGTGTGTTTCTTCCTTCTGTGTGCATTTAAAGATAGATTCTCCTTTTATTTAGCAATCCATTAGCTTTGTTAAGTAAAAGAAGTTGGGTAATTGCTGTGCCCACAAGGCGTGTGACACCTCTGACCATCACGGACCGTGCTGGGCAGTGAGCGCACGGTGACACATGGCCTGGCGTGTCGGAGCCCCACCACACACACCCCTGAGTTGTGCTGCAGGAAAAAGACAGGGAATGGTTTGGAAGTGCTCTTATATCCCCTGATTTTGGCGTAGCTTCAGAGAATGCTCCACTTAGACCTTTTGCAAAAAGGAGTCTTACGATGTTACAGCTCCACGTGGGGCTCTGTTTTCTCTGTCCCCAATGGGTGTCCTTGGAGAAAGGCCAACAGGACTTGAATTCTTATAAAAGCTCGTACTCCTTTGAGAGCTCTGGAGCCAGCAGATGCTTTACAGTGAAAGAGAACATCCTTTGAAAACAATCTGGTGTTTATTAATCAACAAGAATTCAGTGTTTGGGGTCCATCGGCAGGAAAAGAGAAGGAAAGCACATGTGGGCCTGGCCTCCTGAGTGAAAACATGCAGGTTCCATCCCCGTGCTCTGCTGAGGAGCTGATTTCCTATGGCATTGGGATGTCAGCACTTTGCTCTCAGTTCCAGTGACATTTGGCAGGACTCAATACGCCCATGTTGAGACTGAGTTGCCTAAGACCCCGGCAACAAGCCATTCACCTGGTGGCTGGTGTTGCCCCGTAGACATCTAGATTCATTAGGCTCCCTCTAGGCTGGAGAATTCTCTGGACACTTAATTTTAGACACCCACATATGCTCAGAAGTGCCATTTCTGGGAAGGCAGGCACTTAGATCTTATTTAAAGCTGTTCTGTGTTTCTGGTTTATGTGGGTAGGCACCTGGAGTCTGTTATTTCTGTTGCAGAGAACTGAAAAATTAGATATGGACAAGACTAAGTCACGGGCCTCGCGACCACCGCTCGCACCCAGAAGATGGGGTCTAGGCACTGCTCAGCCTGAGGGCTTTGTCCCAGTCCTGGCGGTATCTCAGGAGAGCACCCTCACCACCCTCCCTTAGCTGCTCTGCAGCTGTATCTTGAGAAATAGGAGGCCAGGAATAAAATGGGAAAGAAGAGATGGAGTACAGAGGGGAGTGGTGACCAAAAGCAATTATTAGGATGCTGCAGGGGAAGGAGAGCCCTTTTTACAGAGAGCTTTTTTACACTGCATACCCCCATCACCACCAGGAACCACCGGTGGGAGATTGTCCAGTTTTCCAGCTGCAGAGTCTCAGAGATCCCGTCTGTTGCCCATTTGTTGCAGAAGCCATTTAGGTGGGTGGGTGGGACAGACAGGATTACTCTCTAGGCTTCGGTGCCTTTGATGAGGCGGCATCTGAAGTTAACACTTGAATTAAGCAGACTTGATTTTATTGCCTTTGTGTAGTATAATGCCCATTAAAATCATTAAAACTTTTTGTCTGCTCCTTGCTCTTCTGTCCTCCCCCTGCAGTGTTTCTGTCGTGTGCTGACTTTGTGTGACCTGCCTGCCTGACAGTGGGACCTCCCAGGGCTGCGGGGTACCTGCATTAGCACTTCCATGGCTTGGTGGGGATTCCTGGACAAGGGACACCGTATTTAGGAATAATCCTTTTTTCATTTCTGTCTCACAGATTGATGAACTCCCTGAAGGAGCCGTGAAGCCTCCAGCAAATAAATACCCCATCTTCTTTTTCGGGACTCATGAAACGTAAGTGAATGAACGTGATCTTTTCCTTTGAAAATGTCTTCTTCCACTGCAGCTAACATCATCACCACTAATTTTATTGGAACAAATCCTGACTGAAGCCATTGGGGGCCTAGAGAATAGGTCCTACGAGACCAACCCCTTTGTATTAACACATGGAAGTGAAACCTGGAAGTAAGGTGGGAACAGTGCTGCATGGATGGTATACCATGTTCAAAGCATAAATAATTTTGTACTTACATGTACATGATTGCAGAGATCAGGCTGCTGTATTTGGACATGTTTAGGTTCGTGTCCTGTGTGAGAACTCGCTTGGTAGTTTGTAAAATGAAAGGAAGCAGACCCCGGAGTCTCACACAGTCCTCACATAGCTTTAAAATAAATGCATTCCTGTGAGATTTGTGCTGGGGATCTTGTAGGATGGAGCTCTCAGGAGTGATAGAAGAACTGAGCCAGCTGAGCTCATAGGGAAAGAAAGGGTAAGTTAGGTCTGATAGGAATTGCTACAATGTACAGAGTTTCAATATTACAATGTACATGTCTCTATTTTAAACTATGTCTGACATAGTTAAAAAAAAATAATCACAGTTTCCATTTTGCATGAAATGTTTACATTTTAAAACTTTTCCTTCCCTACTTGCAGGGAACTTGTTTTCTAGAATTTCTTAAAAAATGGGAAAATGAAAAAATTACATTCTGATGATGTCTTAAATTCAATTTTAGAAGTTTGAAGCTTTATTAAAAATGTATTGGGTTTTTTTGAACTTTAGCATTATTCCAGAACATAATAAGCCCCATAGCTCATACATCACATTTTATTTTAAAAACCTTTAAAGACAGTTTCTGCCTAATAAAGATCAAAATAGCCTCTCATTAGTTAAAATATTTCTTCCTATTGCTGTAGTGAAGCAACCTGATATTTTGATATACTGTGATCTGCTACTACTGTCACAAAATAATCTAAAAAGAATAAATTTGAAATAAACTTACTGTACTTTAAAATCAGAACTCAAAATGTAAGGTTTTTTTTAATGGAAACATTTTTCTTGAGAAACATTTTGAGAAAAAAACTCTGACCACTTTTATTCTGAAATGAATGAAACCCAAACTGCCAAACTCTTTTCCTTTGAATCTTGTTAGCCCATGATCTGACTTAACATCTGAAACAAGGAAACAGTTTGTAGTTACTACCTTAATAATTTAAAAAGCATAACTGTTAAAAATGAAGTGTAGATTGCAGCGCCTTAGTTTTATAGCAGAGCAGTGGAAACTGCTATAATCTCCCAGCAGCAATGAACATATTTCAAAGATGTAGACAATTTTTCAGTGTTTACTGTACATAAAAGGCTGTAGAAACATTTCTGTACATTACTGTTAAGCTAGATTAAGGTAGCTCATGGTAAGTTTCATGTAGTTTTCCTTTGTTATTTGTATTAGCACTGCTTGTATGTATTTTTGGCAACAAGGAGACATCTAGTATTAGCAAAAGCATAGATAAGATAATTTATTCAAATCCCTTGCTCTGTTGTAGCCTTTAATATTAACAAGACACCTGTTAGTTTGGAAATCACTGTTTGGCTTTCAGGTAGAAGTGTATTCTTGGTTTTGTAATTATGTAATTGAGATATTTCTCAATGAGACAGCTGAGTGTGGATACCCATTCTGTCTCCTGTGCAGTTAAAAGGAAGCTCTCTCCTTAGAGACTTGTCATCTGATGCCTTTAGCCACCAGTTGGCTCTGTACTGGCAAACTTCTTGGCCAGTGGGATGATTTAAGTGAATGAAACTTTGTACATCCATGCATGCTGGGAAAAATCAGGGCATAAATCAGGCATTAATCTGAAATAATGTTGACAGCAAGGAAGAAATATGATCCTGTGATTAAGGTATTGGACTGAGACTGGAGAGAGCTGGGTTTCCCTCTGTGCTCTGCTATCAGTTTGATTTTTGACCTGGGGCAAATTTCTGTGCCTCAGAAGCCCATCTGCAAAAAAGGGCTACTTCCCAACTGTGTGGCGATGTTACGAGAATAAATGTGTTGTAAATAGTGGAGCTCTGCAATCCCGTGGTAATGGAGACTGTAGAGTTAACATTAATTGCAAAGATCATCAGGAAAGTAGGACAGTGATTATAGTGAAGGACGCTGTGACTTGCTCAGCTCCAGTCACTAGTGACAAGAATCTTCCATGTGGGAATGAGGGGGGGTTTCTCCCTTCACTGTTTTTAATTTAACTTAGAATTAGCCATCCCAGTACTGTGATACAGAGCAAAGTAAACGCACTGGATATAGATACCCAGTGAAAAGGAAATTATGCTTTCTGCAGTTTTATATAAGAAGTTAGAGTTTTACTGTAAAGTATGTAGAAAAAGCAGGATAAATCACCACTCTTCTCTTTTTTTTTTTTTTTTTTTTGTAATTATTTTTCCCTGCATTGTTGTGCCTGTGCCTGAAATTAGTTGGCCCATTGCAGAGCTGACTTATGCAGCAGCAGAGCACAAAATCCCTCCTTTGCTGTGCTGTCTAAAAAACAATTTGGCCACAAGCACCCTGTGTGTCTCATTGTTTCCTTGTATTACTCATCTGCCTATATTCACCCATTGTTTCTTGTCTTATATGAAATTATAAGATTTTTGGGACAGAGCATTTTCATTGTGTTTGCACAGAACCTAGCATGCGGGGGCTTATTCCAAGAAACAAGCTGCCAGGTTTACTGGCAGTATAGATAATAATAAATGCCACAGCTTTTTCTGTCCAGTAGTACAGGGGATAAGTGTTGGCTCATGGGTTCTAGGCACTCCTTGCATGCTTTAACTTTTCGTACGGTATTTTTAGGGCTTTCTGGATTTGTAACACATTGGATTGGAAGTTTGGTCCCTTGCTATCGCAGGCAATACATCATAAAATCCCTTCCATAAACTGTTCAAGTGCCAGTTCCCAGCAGTAGTTAATCAATAAGACTCATTTTAGTTGTTTCTAGAGAGACCCAGCACGATTTTGCAGCTTCTAACATGGGGATGGTGAGCCAGTCCATAAAATGAGACTCACAGCAGTAACTCAAAGCCAGTGAGTTAAATAAATAAATAAACAAGCAAATAAAAAAACCTGAAAGGAAATTATGGAATGAGCAGAGGAATAGGGAAAAAATTTGCACTGCTAATGTCTGGTTTTTTTGAAGAGGAGGAATTTAAGCCCTTTTTAAATGTTACCTTTGTTAAAATGCAGTGCGTTCCTGGGGCCCAAAGACCTTTTCCCATATAAAGAATATAAAGATAAGTTTGGAAAGTCGAACAAGCGAAAAGGATTTAATGAAGGCCTGTGGGAAATAGAAAACAACCCTGGAGTAAAGTTTACTGGATATCAGGTAAATTACTTTCACTTCTATTCCTCCTTGTCTTTCTTGTTTTCTTCTTTGAAGACGTCTTGTCATTGTAAACATTGTATGAGGGATGTGGAAGGTCCTGGGTTTGGTGGAGCTAGAAGGTTTCACAGCTTTTGTAACTGTGTAATGTAGAGACAACTGTGGTCTTGCACTCTGTGACAAATTGAACTCTAATCATGCTGCAAAGCCCTTTGCTTTCTATGATATTCTGGGGTGGTGAAGTGGAAAATTCTGCAGCAGATTTAGATGAATTAAAAATGGAAGGTTTTATTTACTACAGAATAAACATGAATACTTTCTGACTTCTTCTTTCTGTTGTTTATTTTTATATTAGGTTCAGTGTATTTTACACAGACCTTAAGGTCACTGCACTTTTGATTTTTACGTTGGTAATGTCTAACACGTAGGACACCAATGCCAAAGTTGTGAGGGGCGAGAAGGTGGAGGTTTGGGCTGCTGATACGAGATAGTAGCTGCTGTACAACAGCTCTTCCTGTTGGATGTCTGGAGTGAAAAGTCAGTGAAGGTAGAGGGGGAGAAGAGCTGGTGGGCTGTATAAAACCGAAGAACTTATCTCATTAAAAAAATGTGGTCCTTTAAAAGCAGAAATCACCTCCAAAAGAAGGCAAACACCTATTACATTATTAGCACAATACCTTACACATCAGAGATACGGACCACCTGCAGACAAGCTGCTGCCCCTCTCAGTTCCTGTTTCATATTTTCAGCCCTGCAGATGTTTTGCATACTCTTGGGGATTTAAAAAAAAATGAGTGAATAGTCTGTGGGAGATGGACTGTCAAAGAGATCTCAGCCTTCTGGTCAGTGTTTGCTTTCTCCTGACACAGAGATCTGGCCCTTTGGGGGGTTTGTAACAGACATCTTCTCTCCTGAATGCGTCTCTCGTATTGTAGACAAAGTCTAGAAGTTTCCATAGTTTTGCCCAAAGCAGAACATCCGAGGTCTCTCCACTGAGCAACTTTGTTCTCTGGCAAACACATTTTTGTTATTGGATCTTCTGCGTCTGTGTAAACCTTTCAGAATGTGCTATCCCAGAATCTGCATCTGATAACTGTTTTCAACTGGTGACTGAGAAAATTGCCTTTACAGCCCTTTTTCTTGATAATTGCCATAACCTGAGCTCTTCCTGACTATAGTGATTAAAGTGTAAGCTGTCTGTTACCAGTATTTCTATCTTCAATACAGAACAAAAAATATGTAATAGATTGTAGCGATTTTTTTCATTTATGTTGTTATTGTTATTTTTATTGTTATTTTAAAGGCAATTCAGCAACAGAGCTCATCAGAAACTGAAGGAGAAGGAGGAAATACAGCAGATGCCAGCAGCGAGGAGGAAGGTGATCGGGTAGAAGAGGATGGAAAAGGAAAAAGAAAGAATGAAAAAGCAGGCTCAAAACGGAAAAAATCCTACACTTCAAAGGTTATCTTCTGAGTTTTTCCATTGTCACCCATGTGCATTTATAATTAGAATACTGTCCATCTCATGGCAATCTGTTCTTCCTTCTTTAGCGTTTTGATTCCGGTACCATAATAGTGGTGATCAAACAGGCAAAGGGAAGTGCTCTTGCTTTTGTAGACAGCCTTGGTGAGACAGCAGTTGAAATACTCTGCCCTGTTCTAGCACCCACACTTTGAGAAGGAGCTGAAAGTAGGGGAAGGAGTTCAGAAGGGCTGGAAAGAAAATCCGTACACAGATGGATTGATAGGTTTGATCATCTTAGATAGGTATTTCCCCATGAAGAGCAAAAAAAAGCCTTAGGAGTGTGCCTCCTAGGAGACAAGAGGTCAGGTTTAGTTCCTGTCTGGAAGAATTCAAACCTCCCTCTCCTGTCTCCAGTGTGAGTGCCCCAGATGCTGTGCTAAAAGATATGGTAGAGTCAGATGTGCTCAGCTGCGCCTGCTGTAGCTGAGCGTAAAATACTCCAGTACAGGATACAGAATGGGAGGGAGGAAGAACTGATTCGTTAAGCAGAGAGCAGGACCCTCAGTTTGTGGATAAAAGACATGCATTGTAGTACCTACCTGCCCTGAGAATACCTAAGTAACAGCGTAGATGAGGAAGCTAAGAGTGATGTGTCTCAGACTGCCTCACAATGGCTGGGGAATGTAATCACCTGCGTGGTGACAACTTGGGGTTCAGATACGCTTCTCACTTGTTACCTGGGTGAAAGGGAGCAACATTATAGTCACCTCGTCCAGCTCTGTGCATGCCTCCAGTTCTGTACTTTGCTTAAAAAATTATGGGAATTGTGGCAGAGTCACAGTCATTCACATTCATGTTATTCTTCTCTGAAAGTGAAAACTAAATGAAATGAGATGTAACAAGCAAACAATCTGATCCAGGCTCAGTTTGGGGGAGAGCAGGAATTTTCGTGGTTCATCTGCTGAACAAAATGTATTAAGTAATTTCACCCCCTTTGTGTGTTTTACATTAGGAATTCAGGTCTGGTCTGCCATCTTCTTTCCAGAAGACTCTGGGCAAACAGAGGATTAGGAAAATGGTGGCTTAATGCCACAATTTATCCTTTTGTACTGTAGAATTGCATAACATAAAGGGAGCAGAAAAGATGTATTGGTTCCACATGGCTTTAATGTTAATATATTAAAGCTGACAGTACTAAAACAAGTATGGAAAGCAGCTCTGCTAATGTTATTCTCATTTTACATCTCTGTGTTTAATCAAAACTTTTGTCAAGCCGGCACCATGTGTTTCATTACCTAACAAAACCTACAGGTGACCCAACAGTAATACCCATCTCCTATTACTGTGTCTATCTGAGAGTCAGTTGTGCTGCCAGTCTGTGTTGAACACAGAATTTCTCCTTTTGCTTTATTGATGGCAGTAACTCCAACTACTTCACCTGAAAAATGCTTTTCACCCCACATATCCTGCACAATATTCACCTGGAACAGGGAACCATATGGTCAGACATCATTCCACATGCATTTCAAATGTGTCTTTGTATGACTGAAGCTCAGTTTTTACTTTTAACTTTGTTGTTGATCATTTCAGAAATCCTCCAAGCAGTCACGGAAATCTCCTGGAGATGAAGATGATAAGGACTGCAAAGAGGAAGAAAATAAGAGCAGCTCTGATGCTGGGGACGCAGGCAATGACACAAGAAACACTTCTTCAGATTTGCAGAAAACCAGTGAAGGGGTAATCTTCTGCTAATGTCATTCACTTCCCATGCAGTTTGCTAGCAGGGATTTTGCAGCTAGAGGTGAAAGGCATTGCAGTGAGCTGTGCATACCATGTGTGATCTTTTTACGTTGCATTTCAGTGCTCCAGATGTCTAGAACAGAAACATGGGACTCGTCCCTGCACTGGTACAAATTTTACTCTAGAGGAACAACTGAATGGGAAAAGATACTATAAGCATTATTTTTGTTCCAACACTTGCATGGATGTCAGCTGAGAGGAACTGCTGAAAACCATGAGCTGGAATGATGCAAAACTGATGTGAGAGCGGAATCAGACTGTTTGCATAACGCATTTTGGCTCACTGAACAGTGGAAGCCTGCTTATCCTTTCACACTTGTTTAAAATTTGTGCAGTCCCACTGACTTCCTTGCAAGGGAGTTCAGGAGGGTTCATGTGCACATTGCGGACTCGGCATCCCGTGGGTTTCGTGGCAGATTCTGCCTTGGGATAGGACCTTCCAAGGAGGGGAGGTACAGTCTGCTCCAGAGCAGCTTCATACGATCTCCTTGTATGATTGTGTCAGTCGTGTTCGTATCAGTATTATTTTATTGTGACCACAACAACAGAGAGGAAGGCTGCTGAGCAGGGGAATTAGCATGGGAATCGGTTACTCATCAGCCACCTTTAACAACCGCTACTATTTCGGAGCCTTAGGAGCAGCGCAAGCCTCCCTGCTCCGGCACTTAGAGCTCCGGCTCAGAACCAGTTCCTGTGCGGCTCCTCTGCCAGGGCTCTGCCACGTGTCCAGCAGCCGGGCTGGGCTCTCAGAGGAGCTGCGGAGTGACATGAATCCCCAGGTGTGAGAGGAAGCCAGCCAGCACAGGCTCTCAGCTGACATTGCCGAGGTGCCTTAGCACCCAGCTGCGCGCTCGGCCTCAGCCCTTTCTCACCTCTGGGGAGCTGCTGTCTGGCGCTTAAAGGCTCCTCCCCGAGCTTCCTTTCCCCGTGTCTCTCTGCAGTGCAGTGCATGTGTTCTGTGGCTCCTCGCCTTATAAAGACTTTGATACATGGCTTGCAGGGTCAGGAAGATAAAGTGCCCTGAGCCTCTCCCGTTCACTCTGAACAAGCCGCTGGCCTGAGCCAGAGACTGAAGCAAGGAGACACGATGCCCGGCTGTGCCTTCCCAGCACCGCACCCACAGAATTCCAGTCTGGGGCTGATGTGTGGGAAGTGCATAGCCAATGCGTTGCCCACGTTGTGGTTAGTGAGCCCTGTGACACTTTCATGTCTTCAGATAGGTACTTGAGTGAGAAAACTGGCCATGAGGTCTGTCTGAGGTGGCAAGAGGTGCAGGAGGGCCTGCTTTGTTTCCTGTGTTTGTAGCAGTGATGGGGGATGTGCCTGTGAACCTAAGGGATGTTCTCCGTGTCAGGTCCAAACACTTACTGAGTTAGGTCCATCACAGACTAAGTGGCTAAAATGTCCCTCACATAGGATGTTGGCTTTGTGGCTGGTGACATTCATATAGCTCTTCCTTCTGTGTATGACATGCTTGTAACCCCTCGGAGCTAGACTCCAACATCACGGTGTTCTTCAGTGTTTTCAGGATTGCAGATATTTTAGCCGCTGTGCTGACATACCATCAGAAGTTTGTGTCTTTCCTGCCAGCACCAGCTCCACAGACATACTCACAGTTAACATTGTCATACCCACGTGAGGAGCTAGCTGTGCTCTGATGTCTGCAACCCCAGCACTCGGGCTTGACCTCACACTTCACGACTAGTCCTTAACTACATCTTGGATGCTTTTAACATGATGGGAAAGGTGGAGTTTTAGCAGCATGTAATAGAGACAGAGAGATGGTTTTAAGGACAGCTTGAGATAAAAGCACAGATAAGTTTGGCGAAATTCACATTCTCATCCAGATATTTCACCTTGGGCATTTCTGCCACAAACTCAGCATTTCAGCATGTAAATCCTCTCCAGCGTTTCTTTGGAGATTTTGTCAGTGGTGCAATTCTCTGGTAGGACCAGGAGGGGACACTCCATCTCCTGGCATTCACAAAGCCAGACCGGGTGTCTTTTTAGATGGTATGCCTTCATCACACACAGGGCACTCAGGGAAGATTTTTTTTTTTCCAGTTAGTGTTAAACAGCCCGTCACACAGTGTTAGCCTGGCCTGACCTCCCGGGGTACCGGGCCGGCTGTCCTGCAGCCGTGCTCTGCTGGACATCCATACTGGGAGTCTGCTGGAGGGTGCTGAGCTCCTCCCGCTCGCACACTTGGACTTCTCTTGTATAGACAGGAAGGTGGAAAAAGACCAACACGTGCATGTTTCATTCCCCTGGTTTTGCCACCCTGACCAACTGCTTAAAAGATGCCCGGCAGCGGAGGCTGGGGGGCTGGGGAAGTGCTCCCAGGGGCTGCATCCTGGAGAGCCTTTGGCTCCTGTGCTACTCACCTCCCTGGTCTCTGACCATGCAAGAGTTGCCTAAGGACACAAGCAGCTTTTCTCTTAATAATACTGATAATGATGAGGCAGTGATTCTGTTTCATAACGCCTGGACTGCAGGCTGAAGACACAACCCCCCTCTCCAGACCAGAGGGGACTTTGCCTTTTAATCACACTCTTACCCTCACATTATGGGGATCATCTTGAAGGGTTAACGGCTGAAGCCAAATGATTGCAGGAGCATCTTCACCTATATCTTTTAATGAAATTTCTAACCTCCAGGTGGTAGAGGAAAGCTTGGAAATGTGAAGTGATGGCTTCCTAAAGACTCAAAACCCAGAGCAAATAAAAGTACTTCCAAAGCTATGATATTTTTTCAGCCAATTTCATACTGTTCAAGGGCTCAACTTGTGGGGGTTTTTTTTTATCCCTGGGGTTGACAAAACTGCTTTCTTTTCTTATCTCCATCCCTTAGTTTCTCAACTATTCTCAGGGACTACAGACACTGAACAGAAGAGACATTAGCTTCCTCAGACTCAGCCACAGCTCATAGTTGTGT